AGTATTTCCCATCTCTTCCTCTCTACAGAATTTTCCAGACATCGTTAAATGAGCCCAAGCCATTCTCATCCCTTTTTTTATTATTATTATTTCTAAAGTATTTATTTTGCACAAGCATTTTACACATGAAAGATAATAATCCTTACAGACATTTTTTGCAATTATTAATAAATTAACAAAATATTTAATAAACAAAATAGTTTAAAAATCAGTTTTCCTGTCAAAAGACCAAAAGAAGGTTCTCCTCTTCTTGTTAAAGAAAATACATTTTATACTTTCCACATACTTGGTATCTCTTGCCAGGCAAAAGAAATCCAGCAAAATTTCTGCCTTTCATATCATGACGATTATCACATTACATCAGCAAGTATCTTTCCTATGAAAGTAACTTTTTCAATCAATGTCCATAGTAAAGATGCACTTTCACAATCCAATGAACAAAACTGTTTGAAACCCGATGGTAAATGTGGTTCCTAAGAGAATCAAGAGACACTATGATTGTTCAAAGGCAAATTAATTCAAAAGGGGGAAAAAAGCATCTTATTTTTGGAAAGAGGATGTTTCCAATTTGAATGAAGTTTAAAATATTCAAGTTAGGGCCCTGACCATACAAAGGGACAATACTCAAAGGCAGGTCACAGTTCAGAAGCGTCCTACTATTTTGAGTGGAAAACGCTTCCATAGTGATTTTCTTTGCAATAATTAGATTTAACATCATTGTAATTCTAATGAACAAATTAAATCAGGGATCCCTGTATTTGGAATCGCAGTATTAAGACTACAGATAAATATTAGTCCACTTCTATCACCAAGGACTCAGATGTTTCTTTCTAATGAATTGACCATCACATTTTCAAAGTTCTGAAATGGCCAACGGACTATAGGAAGATATTTCTTTAGGCTCCTGCTTGAAATCAACAGCTCCATCAAATTGTTGGCCTTGATTCAGGGCCAATCATCACCCCCTACCCCCTTTTATTTTTCAGTTTTTATTTTGAAATAATTTCAAACTTGTGGAAAATTGCAAGAATAATACAAAGAACTTACTCTTTACCAAGATTCACCAACTGTAAACATTTTGCCACATCTGTACCCTCTCTCTTCCTCCCTTCGTCTAGCTCTTTCTCCCTATTATATTTCAAACTATTTGGAAGTTGCAGACAGTATGCCGTTTTACTCCTAAGTACTTCAGTGTGTATTTTCTAAGAACAAGGACAGTCTCTTATATGAGCACAGTACATTGGTCAAATTCAGGAAATATAACATTGATACAGTATTATCTAATCATGAATCTAATATTATTAAATCAACAGCCCACATTACAATTTTGTTCATTGACCCAATAATATCCTTCAAAAGAATTCTTTTCTTTTCCCTAATCCAGGATCCAATCCAAGATCACAAGTTACTTTTTTTTTTTATTATTGTACTTTAGATGAATCTAGCTTCAACATAAAGAAAATAAAAATCCTCACAACTGGAGCAATAAGCAACGTCATGATAAACGGAGAAAAGATTAAGATTGTCAAGGATTTCATTTTTCTTGGATCCACAATCAACACCTATGGAAGCAGCAGTCAAGAAATCAAACGACATAGTGCAAGGGGCAAATCTGCTACAAAAGACCTCTTTAAAGTATTGAAAAGCAAAGACGTCACCTTGAGGACTAAGGTGCACCTGACCCAAGCCATGATGTTTGCAATTGCCTCATGTGCGTGTGAAAGCAGGACAATGAATAAGGAAGACGGCAGAAGAATTGACACCTTTAAACTGTGATGGTGGCAAAGAATACTGAATATACCATGGACTGCCAGAAGAATGAACAAATCTGTCTTGGAAGAAGTACAACTAGAATGCTCCTTAGAAGCAAGGATGGCAAGACTACTTCTCACATACTTTAGATGTGTTATCAGGAGGGATCAGTCCCTGGAGAAGGACATCATGCTTGGTAAAATCGGGTCAGTGAGAAAAAGGAA